CCATTTAGGATCCAGTTTAATTCTATGGGATTTAATTCAGCATATTCTCTCCCACTGGTGGCATATAAGTAAACTCTTACCATATGGGAACCAAATACAAGTAGGAACAAAATAGGAAATAAGATGGGAACTTTATAAACAGACTGCCTCTCCTATTTGCAATGAGATGCAGCAGAACACCAACTCACCTGAGATGTGAACAGCAAAGACTGGGTTGACAGCTGAGACAACCCAGGTGAAATTCTCAGATCAAGGCCTAGTCCTTATGAAGGGCTGTGGCTGTTTTTACAAAGCAGAATTAATACCAGTCTATTATACCTGGCAATTGCAAGGCCCACTAGAGCCAAAGAGTCCTAATCTCAATTAATTTTGCTCCTTTTTAAGAAGAAAACAATTGGATCTGAACTGTCTTCTAAGCCTCTGCTGGTGGTACAACTGCCCACACTGGTTCTGATTTTGCATGCTGGAGTGTGACCAGGACCAAAATCAAGCAAAGGGGACAACAAGAGCATTAAATCCTTTACCACTGGTCTTATCAGCACCATGAAAAAGTATCCACTTGTGCTACTGTAACCCAGTTAACAGGACTTTAGATGCTGGAATACTCATCTACAATGAGGAATCAGATCAAGCCCACACTCGTCTTAATGCTGTAATGTATCCCAAGAACAAATGCAATGTTTAAACTCCTTGAAACAGTTTCTACAGCTTCTTTGGGGAAAAAATATACTCAAACCCCTTCAATTAAGGCAGCTTTTAATTAATGGTACACTAAATGTTTCTTGAAGAAAATTAAGATTATGTTTAAAGAGATCTCTTTAATGAATACAAAAGCTTGTCAGACAGTATCCCTACAATTACACAGTTCTGAACAAGTGAAACCATGGTTACCAAACAACTATTTTTATTATAGCATCTACAGTATCTGAAAAAGGGAAGTAATAATAAATAACTGTAGCTGCATCACAAGACACCCATTTATTTAATCACAGTAGTAAATCTTGCTACTACATTTTATTCTAAACTTTTTAAATTTTTATTCTTCAGATTCTCCAGGCTTACGGATGTCATCAATCTTCAAAATCATTCTAACCATCTGTGTTGCAAGAGATATCTGTTGCTTTTTGCCAATCAAGGTTTCTATGACATGTTGTTGTTGCATATCTGAAAAATAAAGTAAATCAATTACCCCAAAACAGCATACATAGCCAATCAATAAGCAGCTTAAATTTATGAAATCACAGTGAAACTTAAATACAGCTGGTGTGGTGCTGTACATTTGTAGTCTCAACTAGTGGGAGGCTGAAATAGGAGGATCCCCTGACTTCAAAAGTTTGAGGCCTAGTGGGCTGTACACAGCGAGACCTCATCTCAAAATCAAACTCAACCAAATGGAACAAAACAAGAACAAAAAAATCCAAATCAAACTGTGGTGCCCAAGTGGTCAATAATCTCAGTTAATTTTCAGATGAATTTCATTACTCCCAAGGACATTCTGGAATTTGAATCTGGTTAACAGTTGCAAGGGGACAGGATTCTCAGTAACTTACTGAAAAGAAATCATCAGCAACACTGCATCCTACAAAGCATCCACAACCCAACTTAGTACATCTTGAAGGTATCTGAAATGTTTCCTAGAAATGTCTAATATTAATACACATAGTCCTTCAAGTTAAAAACATTAAATACTTGTCTGTCAAGGAGTTATTGTTACTAAAATCCCTGGCATGTTGAACCTGAAAAACAGAAATATACCTACACTTCTATGTAAAAAACTGTCATATTATGTGGGTGGGACTGATTGCAAGAATCCAGTTATGGCCTGATCAGACAGAAATCATGAGACCAATGATGCAACAAGCTAAAGTTCTCCACCTGTTCAACAAACAGCAAGAGAAGTTCCCGTGCACTGGTTTACAAAACATTCACTTGTCTAAGGGCATATAACCACATAGTAAGCTGTGAACTAAAAGTCCATTTCAGAGCTGTTTTATGACATCCAGAACTCACTGATAAGACATTTGTGTTAAAAAGGAAGGCAATTATTTTTTAAAAGTAGAGATTAAGATATGCCATCCTTAGAAATTCCATATCATATCTTATGGTTACTGTAATGAGTTTCACGTTGCTAGGGCTAACCAACTCTTACAGTTTAAAACATTCTAAAATCCAGGACTAATAGCCAAAGCGTGTTTAAGTATTTAAAGAGATGATAAATCTCATAGTATATATAACATACTGAACAGTAACATTATTCTTCAACTTAAAGCTCCACACAAAGAATCATGACAGTTCCTCACCATTTGTACCCTTGTGCAAACAGTCAATTCCAAGAGCAGGGTTCTTCTCCTTTACTTGTTTAGCTCGGACTTCAGTCATGGTCTGGATGGGATTCATGCCACTGTTTTCAGAAAGGGCCATGGGGATGACCTCCAATGCATCTGCAAAAGCTCTCATGGCATACTGCTCCAAGGTTGGGCACTGGAAGGGCACAAGGGTATAGTAAGCGCATATGGGAAAAACCAGACCCAACCAACACCATCCAGCAGTAATCTGCAAACAATTATATTATATACTTTGAAAAGACTACTTTTAAAGA